AAGAGTTGGTGGTGGGTGGTGATGACTAGCTGTCTTCCCTTTAGTCTTTCACTGCTAAATTAGGAATGACTAGTGCAGACAAAAAAAAAAAAAACTTATTTGTAGCTTATTGTCATTGTTAATATTTTCAGATATCTGTGTTGAATAACAGTGAAGTAATGTTGAAAATACTTTGCTTAAGTATAGGACTGGAAATGTTTGGTTAAACCTTAAATCTTTGATTTTAAAATGTTTTATTTGAAGTAGGAAAAAATTTAGTAATTTTGATTTCTCTAAAAGTACCTATAATTGTATTTTCTTTGTGTTTGTTATATTAAAGTAATCAATTTATCTTCTATATTCATCACAATTTCTGTGTGGTTAATAACTTTAATATCAGATGTCAGTTATTGTTACGATTGTTGCCTAGATATCTACTTTAAAGCAGTATTCCACAGATAATCAAACTTATATTGCTCAATATATTGTTGCCTGATGAAGGCTCTGGTAAGAGGGCCAAAAGCTTGCAACTAAAAGTATTTTAACCTAGAGAAAAGTCTGTGTATAATTGCCTTTTAATTTAATTACATTGTGAGTTTTAAAAAACAATTATGACACTTCTTTTTAATCTCTGTTTTATTTCTTTGAAATAAAAGAATCTTGGAGATTAGTTTAGCTTTTATTCTAGAGATACTTGATGCAGTATCTATTTGTTGGAAGACTGTCCCAGCGTAACAAGTGATATGTTGACTAGTAATAATATAAATGGTGATAACTGTTTGAAATTTATTGATTCATCTTTACAATGTCCCTAAGTATCTGGAAATCATGAAAAGGATTCTGTGATAATCCTTTTGTCAACATACAAATTAATTTGAATGTTAGTCATTGTCTCATTTTGTATGGTGGTACTCTACAGTGCATTGTTTATTGCTGAACAACTAGTTGTTGAAACATATGCATAATAAAAAAATAATAATGATTTTTTTCTTGTTCTAAAAACTGGTGAAAGAAGTACCACAAATTGTAATTTCATGCTAATACTGTAAGATAATTATTTTCTTGATTACTGACTGTCCATTGAATCTTTGCATTATAGAAAGTGTATTGGTGATAAAATACATTAAAATTGCAGTTAGATAAAACTGTAAATATATAAATATAATTTTCACTGTTTAGTGCTTTGAAAATCTCCAAGGAGCTATTAAAAGTGAAGAGGGGCTTGGCATTGAGTATGATGAGGATGTTATCTGTGATGTTTGTAGATCAGTGAGTAGATATTAAGTTTTTCTTTATATTTTGCAGTTTAACTAAACCAAAGCATTTAACTAATGTACTGCTTGTCTTAGTGTATTGGTACCAGTAAAAACTTATTTAATGTACTTAGAAATCATTTGTAACATTAGAAGGAATTTTAGTGAATTATTAGCCATATAATAATTTACATTTTAAGCTAATTATTTTGCCTGAACACGGAAATCATAATTTTTATAGTTTTATACATATGCAGTTTGATGAGAAGAAATTACAATTTGCATTAATTACTGCAAGATCTTGTCAAATGTGTTAAATACTTAAGACTTAGAAATGTAATGAGTAGCATTATATAATCTATTCCAATGTTTTGTTAACAGTAAGAATTTCCATTTAGGAAAATAATCATTTACAAAAGTCTGTCTGCTTTGTGGGAAACCAGGGTTCTGACAGTTTAGCTCAAGTATTATTACAAGTTGTTGTAAGAGGAGGGGTGGTAAAAATTGGAAACACAGCTCAGTCAGAGTTAGGTATGGTTAAGAAGAAAATTAGGTAAAGTAAACAAGAATAAGGATAAACTTCTGTAATGTAATTTAGTAACTCATTGAATGGTGTTTCTCTACTCATAGAAGTAGGTCATAAGTTCAAAGAAAACAATGTCATTGATGTGATTACTAAATTGTAAGATTAATTATCATAAGTTTAATTGTTACTGGGGATGTTTAGTACTATGAATTATGTATTTTATTTTTCAGAATGATATGGGAAGGATGAGAACAAAGAAATAGGCTTAATTTGCAAATTGAACAAGAAGTGTATAATTGAACTTGGTTTGAGGGTCTATAGTTTAAGATTGTGTGTGATTATATTGAAAATATTAGTTAATCATGTTAAATTATATATTATTACTAAGGCATTTTATTTTTATTTTAAAGCCTATTACTCTAAAGTAACTACATATATGTGGCAGATTACATATAGTGCTACATTTGCCAAAACCATAGTTCTTTACTACCTTATGTGATAATCTTTTTTATTTTCTAGATTCTTCTTACTCAGTTCAGTCTTATGACACCTAATAGATTATAAACTTAATTTATGTAGAAATATGTCTTATGATACAGAATGTTCTCATGCAACTTGATTGACTTGTACCATCATAGCCTGACTCGGAAGAAGGGAATGAAATGGTGTTCTGTGATTCATGCAATATTTGTGTTCATCAAGCTTGTTACGGCATTACTAATATCCCTGAAGGAAGCTGGGTGTGCAGAACTTGTGCTCTTGGTCTCCGGCCATCTTGCCTTCTTTGTCCAGACAAAGGTGGAGCCATGAAAACAACAAGGTGGGGTACTTTAAGATCATTTACTATGTAAAATACATAGGGTACCCAAGCAGTCATTTGTGGGATTAACTCTCTCAATATGGGGTTGGTCTCAGGGACTGACTACGGGACCATTTTATTTTTATGTAGTTTTAATACTATTACTTTTAATATAGTGTGTGTATCTTCACAAAATTTGGCAGACTTTTAGTACACATTACAAGTATTTTGTAACCAAAAAATCAGTTTTTGAAATGAAGTATTTTTACAAAAGATTTGATTGTGAATATATCAAGTATTTGTTTTGAATAGTCTGTGCGCAAATTGTTTTTCGTGTTAAGATTAAAAATACTTTAATTCATCTCAAAAATCTGAAATTTGATTTATGTATTCTCTAAGTAGCTTTAAACTTGTTGTTTTATTGCCCTTTGAACCATGTTTAACTACTATTCGTGCCCTTATAAGTGGTAAATCACTTGGGGAATGTAGAGGTCATGTTACACTATCAAATTACATTATCCATGAGCTGCTCGCGTGTGTGCCTCGTGAAATGTTTGTATTATGTTATTTATTTTACATAATCTAACCATAACTAACCTAAAGAGTTCCTTTTTTACATTTTAGTTACTTTTATAATGATAAATAAAGAATAAACACGAAAAACAAGAAATAAGGTACTTACCCGAATCTTCTTTTTCTTGCTGTTGATTGTCAATGACACTTAACCCTACGTTTTTATACTAATGGTAGTAATGTACTAAATAATTTTTATTGAATTAAATAATGCACCAAAGAACATAGAATAATAACATGCAAAAAGTAGACAACTTCCCCTAATTCTCACAATTTTTCTGGCTTTATAACTATACAACAAGAGCTGTTACAAATTCATCCAAGCAAGTCATTATCTTTCCTGTTGGAACAAAGCTTGTACTAACAGTGAAATTGACAATTCTCCATTCAGAACACAATGTTATACAATCTGTCATTTGAAAGATTAAAACCTTGGCTTTCTATTGGTTATAGATAATATATAATTAAATGTAAGAGAGAACCATTAACAAATCCTGAGAGATGTGGCAAGTGAGTGTGACAAGAGGGGTCTGATTTTCTATTTGATAGCTTTGTAACCAAACAAAATTAAAGCTATAAAGATTATGGTTTGTCTGAGCAATGACGATTTTATAGTGAGTAATTTACGTTTACTTTCATACTTATTGGAAGGGTGGTGGATACAATACAGAAAAAAATATGTGTCACACTGGGGAATATTCAGGATTTTTTTTAAATATTACTATATAAAATTAAGAACTTAAAACTTGTATACTATTAAAATATGGATTATTAGCTAATATTTTATGCTATACTAATTAGTATAACATAAACAAAAAAGTAGATTAATAAAATTTTGAATGCAAGTCACTAAAACCTCATGACGTGCAGTAAAGCATGCCCGTTGCAATCGGGTTAACCACAGTATTGATGGTATTTTTGTATGACTGTTTTGGTAGTAGCAGCATTTCTACTGGCAGTCACAATTTTGACACTCTACAAAGAATAAGAAAAACAAATTTCCTTTGACTGAAAAAGAAATTAGTCAAAAACTAGGAACATCATATCACCAAAGGCTTCGGGGGGCATATATGCCTGACCTCATGTACCACCCCTTTTCCAGGTTATGGCGTAATTTGTGCATATTTGTTAATTGACTTCACTAAAATTGTCTAGCAGAAATTACCATTTAACCCTACGATTACAGTTACCTCTGTACTGCTAATGTCACAAGATTTTACTTTGTTATATTCAGAATTTAATTAAGCAATCTTACTATCAATGTATATCAATGAAATTAGTATTAAAATTTACATTACAGTTCAAAGTTTTATATTATCTTAGTTTTAATTCCTTTATTTCAAAAGAAACTTTAAAGAATAATTCTTAAACTTCAGTTTGATGTACAACTTCAGTTAGCTACTTCACAAAATTTTAATGTTTCAACTTTGTAAGTTGAGAATGATTTGAATACACTAAATCTTCCATATATAGAAAGAATCTGGGTTAATTGCTCTGATTACACATTCTCCTTTCAAGTTTCACAGTGGATGTTGGGAGAAAATAGAAATAAATTTCTTGGAACTCTTGATAGCTGCCATGGTCACTCTATACGTTTATAGTTGCGATTTCTCAGCCAAGTGTACTTAGTTGAGCTAGATACTTATAACCAATGTAAAGAGCTAGATGATTGTAACCAATAGCGAGCCATATTTTTAAATACTATTTCCCAACAGTTATTTTAAAATTGGCACAGAGAACTTGTCAAACACTGTTAGCATTGTTGCTACTTGTGACCTCGCCATCATTTTAGCATTATTTCTCACCTATAAGTATGTTAGTTAAATAGACAGTTAAATTATATTTAGGTTTTAGTTTTATATTTTAGTTAATGATGTGTTAGTTATGTTGTAAAATGTATATTAGAAAGGTTCAATAAGTTTTCAAAATATAAGCCAAACTGCCTCGTTTTATCAGGCTTAGTGTAGTAGGCAAATGTCCCAATGTTCTAATGACAGCTAAAGTCACACTGCTGAGGACACCTGGAGGATGCTTGTTGATATGTCTCATGATAAGTAATAATGCTAAAGGATAGGAAAGGAAAATAAAACATCAAACTAAATTTTTGTGAAAACAGTAAAATTTTAGAATTAAGAATATGAACTAAGAAGATTTTCAAGATAATTCAACAAAAATTAAAAGGTATATACTTTTTATGTTTTGAATTTTAAATATTTCACTACACAATATGTCGATGATAATATTTGAAATATTCAGTCTGAGTGCAGATAACTACAATACAAAAATAACAAATCCTCAATTAAAACAATGTACAAAATACTTCTAATCTTTAACAAAATCTTACCAATTGTTGTGAAGATGTATTAAGAAATATCGGAGTTAATGTAAGTTTTGTCGAACTGTGTATCATTCTCCATAAGAGAAATATGCCAAATGGGTTCAATCTGTAATGAAGAATTAATCCCTCCCCTCTGTGATGCTCCCTTGATGGGAACAAGTATATATTGCAATTAGAAATGATTAAGTAATTTCTGTATGTTGTTTGAATACGATAAATATACAAATAATATTCAGTAAATAAAGATTTGAGTTGTCAGAATATTTTTCTGTCACTTATACTCACTAAACCTAACTAAGCTTATCTAATTCAAAATATACATAAGATAATGTTTTGAAAAGAAAACATTGGGAAAATGAATTATTTGCTTGAAACTGTCATTTTGAGTAATTATTCTTCATCAGGATAAGAGAAAGAGTTGAACTTGTTATACTAGCCAATACTGAGACGATACCTTACCTCCTCTCACTTAATAGATTTCCTTGATTTGTGCTGCCAGCTATGTGTACAATTTTTGCTCGCCATTAGCCATGATGTTCCCACCTACCCTTATGTGTAAACAGGTGGTATTGTTGTCCTGTAGCATGTGGCCTGCAATGTCTCCTGAGCCATGGTCAGATCTCCCTTTTCATTCAGGTACCAGTGTGCCTAGACTCCCACATTTGGCTGACTCGCATGTTTTGGCATATTATCAGTCATAGTTTCAGTTTCTTGATTATCAGACCTTGGAATCACTGATTCAGACATAGGGCTCTAATCCTACTGCTAACCTTTGTTTTTTCCCCTTCTCCGTTCTCTCTTCTTCATCTTACTGTCATGACTGTCCTCCTTTATCAGTCATCTATTCACATCATTTCCAAAGCTATCCACCATTCCCATGAGGGTTTTTCAACAGATACGTGTGCACTTCTTTTCTCTACATGACACATTTATCTTCTTCTGCTTTATCCCTTCATATGTGGCTACTTTGTTGTTGGAATCTCCCTGGCAGGGATGCCTTTTTTCACATGTGCATCTGCCTACTTCTTAGCTGTGTGACCTTTGCCTGGCTCCTTTATTGCAGCAGTCTGTTTTTGGGAATCTTCCTGATACTTTAGAGTCTCGGGTGGAGGCTGCATACCAACATTTCTCTATCTCTTCCCTTGTTACTCATCTTTCCCAATCCTCTCCTGTTCTTTTTCCTGTGTCTCATTCTCCAGTGTCCTCACCTCTTCTGGTTACGCCTTCCTGTTTTTAAGCTACAAGTTGTCAGATCACTCATCATCGCTTTTTTAGATGCAAGTATTGTCAGTGACTATTCTTTGGGTTCCAGCATGGTTGGGGTGCAATTGGCCAGGTTTGCTCAACTGTGGCATCCATTCACTGCATTTTCTTGGGTTCTTCTGGTGTTAGAAGAAGGACTGTATTTTTATTTTTCCACTCCTTCTCCATTATCTTCAGTTCCCATTTCTTTCCTTCCTCTTGGGATCCACGTTCTTGCTGGGTGAAGAAGGATGCTATAGAACAAGTGTTTGACCCTTCTCCAGGATATTATTCTTGTCTGTTTATTGTCCCCAAGAAAATGGGATTAGCATTCGGTTATCAATCTCTCAAATCTTAACTGCTTCATTAACCTCTCACATTTTACGATGGAGTTTTTTCTCATCCTCAGATGGTTGTTCACTCCAGGTCTTTGGATGACCAAAATAAACATTTCAGATGCTTACATTCATATTCCTATTTCTCCTGCATCCTGACATTACCTTCAGTTTGTTCATGGAGGTCAGGTGTTTCAGTTCTGCATTCTCCCATTCAGTGTGGTAATAGCTCCGTACATCTTGTTGCATAGTCAGAGTCTTTTTCCATCATATTCATGACCTGGGACTGTGATTTCGTCATTACATGGATGACTGGCTTCTTATGGCTTTTTCCCAACAAGCCTCTTACTACCATACCAATTTCCACACTCAAGAGATGGCTTACCACACTGGAGAAATTCCATCTCACCCCCACCCAGTATCTTATTCGTTTGGTGGTATTTTTCAACACCTGTCTCAGCAGAATCCAGTCTTCTCTTCTATGTTTGAAAAATATGGAGCTCTTGGATTCCTAAGCCAAGACTTCTCTTCCTCTGTGTGAGTTTCTCTCTCTTTTGGGACCTGGGCTTCCATGGAATCACTCATACCTTGGGGCCCTACTCATGTGCATTATATTAAATGGGTGTTGCATGATCAATGGAACCTTGTTCGAGATATCTTGGACTCCTTCATTTTTCTCCTTCCACCCTCCAAGTCAATTTTTCATGGTGGCTCAACAAAGCTAACACCTCAGCTAGCATTCCTCTTCCTCCTTCCTGTCCCAATCTTCATCTTTTTACAGATGCTTCAATTATGGGATTGGGAGGCATACTTGGATTTGCATGAGATAGCTGATCATTGGTTGGAGCTCCTGACTGTTTGTCTAGCCTTGGATCATTTCCTGTTTGTAGTTCGTGGGCACCTGGTCATGATTTATTCTGACAAATCGACAGTTGTCTCTTACGTAAATCACCAAGGTGACACCTGGTTTCATTCTCTTTGTTTTCTTACATTGGATCACCTTTTCTGGGCCCAATCTCAGTAAGTCAGTTTTCTTGCTTGTCACATCTAGGGAGCTCTGAATTTTTTGGCAGATAGCTTTTTCACCCTAACAAGTTTCAACTGATGGAGTGGTCTCTTGTTTCTCAAGTGTTCCTATGGTCTCACTCCCAGCAGGGTACCCTCCTTCTGGATGCCTTTTCCACCCAGATCAGTACCAAACTTCCCTTCTTTGGGTCTCTGGTTCTGCATCTTTCAGCTTTGGCTGTGGATGTGTTCAGTCAGGATTGGTCCAATCTCTACCCGTATGCTTATCTCCCCATCCATCTTCTTCCTTGCATTCTCTCTCTTATTCAAACCACTCCATGTAGAGTCCTTCTCATGTCTCCATTCTGTCCTGCACAACCATGGTTCCACTCTTGAACCTTCTTCAGTCATCTCCTGCTGTGTACCTCTTCCTCTTTCCCAGTCCCTTCTCCGGCAACCTTGTTCCTCCATGTGTGATTTGGTTGGTCCTTTGCATGGCTTTCTGGACTGTCTACCTGAGTAGCCTTCCTTCTTTCTCATTCTGTCTGCTTATTTTCTTTGCTGGTTTACCAGTGTAAATGGCACATTTTTAATTGCTGGTATTTGCTTCATGACTTCTTACCCTTCCCAATCAACTGTTCACCACCTTTCTGATTTTTTTACTTCACTCTTCAACAATGATTGAAGACTGAATGATTGAATCCCAAGCATTGTTGGGATTGTTGCCCATCCCTCTGGTCATAGTTGAATAAACTGAGACTGGCCTGCTCTTCAAAATAGGGTTTTTGTGGTCACTCCTTGTGAGAGTGGGATAATGGTATTTTGTTGGTGTAGATGGTGACTACTCTCCTACCATGGACTGGGAGACAAATGCCACCTGGTTTTGGACTTGACAAATTTACCACATGAAGTTCACCTCCTTCAGCTGGCTTTCCCCCCATCCTACCACTTCCTGGATGTTGGTTTCTGGGTGGTCTGGTGTTGAATTGGTGTAGGGTCAGCAAATGTAAGTCCTCACACATGTGGTTGGTAGTCTCTCTTCCTACCTCAGAACAGACAAAAGAATCCTAGAGCTGCCTGGTTTCGGATTGGAGTTGACCCACCACATTTGCATTCCCCATTCCTACTGTTATCTGGATGTCGGGTTCTCAGGTGGCCTGGTGTTGGTTGTTTACTGCGTGTGCACACGTACCCTGGCTGTGTTGTCAGAAAGGAAGTTGTTTTTCCTTTCTACTTCCTAGTTTTAAGGTGAAGACAGTTGGTATCCTCCTTCTACCATGGACTGGAAGACAAATACCCGATGCCACCTGGTTTTGACTGCAGTTGACCTACCAAATACAGTCTGATGTGCACTAGCCACTCTACACCATCTGCAGCATCCAATTACAGGTTGGCATACATCTTTTTCACTCGATTTAGTGACACATGTCTTGACAACAGGTGAAGAGTATACCTGATACAGATTGGGACCAGTCTCCCATGAGTGTGATCCTAGACATTAGGGTGTGACGCCACATGGGTTCTCTTCGGACACCTTCCTAAGAGTCCTCATCTAGGTAACTTTTGCACTGGTTCCATATTGGTATCTTCCTACACTGAAAATGTAGTTCTGATAAATACTTACCTCTACCCACACTTCCCACTTCTGATGCATTGTTTTTGCCTAATCTAGAAGTGACAATAGTATAAAGGGTGTCTGCTGTGCTAGGAGGAAGTGTCACACTCCTATTGGTGGAGAGTTGTTACATACTTATTTGCATGCTACAGCACAACTATACCATGTGTAAATATGTGTTGGTAGGTGGGAGCATTAAGGCTAGTGGCAAGCAAAAATTGCACATATAGAGGGCAGCACAAATTAAGGAAAGCTGTTATGTGAGAGAGGTAAGTATCCATCGGTGTAGGAAAATGTTAGATTTTAGCTTTGTATAAGTTTTCTTATCCTGAATAAGGTTAGTTGCCTGAAATGGCACATTGTCTCTTTTTTTAACACATTGTTTGACATTTATTTTGAATTATCCAACATCAGTGAACCTTTTGTCCAACTAAACTTATTCGATGTCATTTAAACAGATATAATTTAATATGAAGATACTTCCATGAGTGAAAAAATTGTGTTAAGAAACTGTCAAAAAATTTCCATCTCTGATCTCTGTGGTTTGTTCCTAAGTCTTCAGAACTTGGATCATTGCTATATGAGCTCTGATTAACATATTTCCCATAAAAACCATAAACTACTGCTCAAACCCTTTTATTTACTTATATATAAGGTGAAAAGTATAACTTTCGTTTTATCCAATCATGTTTAAACTTTTCCAATGCTATGTTTCATTAGTAAATGTTTAAACCACTTGTTGAGACATCATAAAAGGATGGCAACCAAGGTATGTACAAAAATTGAGCAAAGAAATACAAAGAAAATGTTTGAAAGGCGAGTAATGGATAATACATTCTCAAGGGGGATAGTTTTTTAGCAAATTTAAAGCTATTCTTTGGGATGAGCAGCAAAATTCTGAAATAATTGTCATGTGAGTTGTATACAGGCATAACTCTTCAGAACACTGCAGAAATGAAAATTTAATTTTTCCTTATGAATTATGCTAAATAAATCTTACAAAATGACAAAATATTAAATGTCATATATTTGTGTTTAAAAATTGGCAAAAAAATTCATTTGGCAAAACTCTGTAAAGTTTAAATTAATGCAAATAAATATCTATTAAATTAAAATTACTGGCTCCTATACATACTAAATCATAACAATTCATCACCATATAAAATTGAATCAAAAATTTGTGGCTCAGAAAAGTTGAAAAGTGGCAAAAAAATTCATTTGGCAAAACTGATTAAAAAAATTAAAAACTAGAATAAACCTTTTAGTATAAGTCTTGTAACCAAGAATCATAGAGCCATAAGCAATTTGATGCATAGTAAAATGTGTTTATATGCTAATGGACCCTATCATCTACTGTAGCATCAAAAAATATAATTATTTTAAGTTTTTTAGTGTGTGTACATGTGTATTTATAAAATGGTACTTCACTTGTGATGAATATAATACCATGTAATTTTTTAGTTTTTCTTTAGTTATACGAAAGTAAAAACAAATTTTCTTTGTATGAAGTAATTACTGTGTAGTAGAGGAGTGTGGGAGTACTTAATTTTCATTATATATATATATATATATATATATATTTGTTTTTTCTAGGAGTGGTCGAAAATGGGCTCATGTAAGCTGTGCCTTGTGGATACCAGAGGTCAGTATAGGAAATGTTGATAAGATGGAGCCAATTATCAAGATTTCAGACATCTCGGTAAATTCTAATTTGTCAGCTGTAAAGTATGTAGATACTTCAATAAATTAATTCTTCTAGCTTGTTTTAATTCTAAAACACCTTTGTATACAAATAGCACAATTGAAATAATTGCATTGTAATTTTCAGTAATAAAAGTTTTTAACTTGTTTACACCTAAAGCCTAGTCTTCACATTTCTTTGGATAAAACAACTTCTTTGTTGTCTATAAACCAACTGAAAAGTACCAGGTATTTCATTCCAGAAGATGTAAGTAAGTAGTTATTGAAAACCAAAACAAACTGTTGGAAAGGTTTCAATCAGAAGTTAAAAGTATATTTGTTCAAGCTTATGGTCACATTTAGTATATTTAAGTATTGAAGTTATACCAGTTAGTTTTAAGCACAAAACATTTGTACAGAGTTTCAACTGAAATATTGGTAAATTTATGTGTTTCTAATATCTTGCATTTTAATATTTGTACAAAAACTATATTTGTATGGTAGTGATCATCAGTTGAATGGATAATTTTATGTTTTGTAAACAGTAGTCTTCATATTTTTTGATAAATGATGAATTTAAAGTAATACTTAAACTGTTATTGTACATTTAATGGCCCGGCATGGCCAGGTGGTTAGGGCGCTCGACTCGTAATCTGAGGGTCGCGAGTTCGAATCCCCATCACACCAAACATGCTCGCCCTTTCAGCCGTGGGGCGTTATAATGTGGCGGTCAATCCCACTATTTGTTGGTAAACTAGTAGCCCAAGAGTTGGCGGTGGGTGATGATGACTAGCTGCCTTCCCTCTAGTCTTACACTACTAAATTAGGGATGGCTAGTGCAGATAGCCCTCGTGTAGCTTTTCGCGAAATTCGAAAACAAAAAAAACAATTGTACATTTCATCACCGTGGCCTTTATGTTGAATATCTTTGATATTTTATTAAAACAGATCAATGAAGTTTAATCTTTTTTATCATCTGAGGTTAATGTATAAAATATAAAATAATTGTATTGTAAAATGATAAGGGGAATAAGTTGCAGTAACATAAAAATAGAAATAAATGCAAATAAAATCTGAAAGAATGCTCAATAACGTTTAAACAGGGATTAATGTGATTTTTGCCTGAAATGTTTTGGTGGTTATTGAAATGGAAGTTTTTACTGGTGTATTATTTAATTAATGTTTTGTAATGGAACATTTCTTCCATTCATAGCCAAGAAGGTGGTCTCTTGTGTGTTCCCTGTGTCGAGAAAGAGTAGGTGCTTGCATACAGTGCTCAGTAAGTAATGTAACTTATTCAGTTTTATGTTTTTATGCTTTTTTTTTATTAAAGCAAAGTGTGTAATTAAATTATTTTTAATTCCATTTGGGTAGTTATAAAATTTTTTAGGTGCTAGAAGGGATTATTGGGTGCTGAAAATATAATATTAATATATGAAGTCCAGATTAAACTATTTAAAAAATTACATTTAAACAAAGTGTTCTACTAGTGATTAATTTGGTTGAGAAAGACCAAGATGCACATCTTTCTGACTGTTTATAAATTTAATTTTCTGTGTTTTGTAACCTAAATTTAATAGCATACATATAAGTAAGAAATAACATATCTTACCAAGAAGTGCTATTAAAGTCTTAATTTTCATCTACTACAGACCACAGTCTATGTCTAACACTTTAAATTGTTTTTGACTAATTTTTTGAAATTCTAATAGGACCAAAAAAGATAATTTTTAGCATTATTTTTGGCAGAATGCATTTGAGTATCTGAATTACATCAAAGGACACTTAAACTGAGTAAAAGTATTCTGTGGACACCAAGAAAAGTGTATCATATTCTTATTAATATACTAATCATGTTGTGAATCCTTTACAGTTTTTTTGTTAGGAGCTAAGTGTTGTAAATATCTCATTCTTATTAATTTTTGTTTTTCTTGGTATAGACTTTGAGCATCTTTAATGTTTTTGTTTTGATGTCATCTTGACACTTTTTACTTTATGTAACACATACATATTTAAATAATGTTGGAATTAAAGTCTTAGAATAAAAGATGAAATTTGGTTTTGCTAGTTCATTGACTTTAAAAATTTAGTATTAGCTAAAAAAAATTAAATTCTATCTATTATGTTAGAAGATAAGAAAGCTTATGTTACCAATAGATTAAAAGAAAATATTATTTAGGAAATTTCTGTCATTGGTTTGTATTTAATTGATGGTTTTTTCTGAGTTTGCCATTTAGTGTATGAGAAGCTATGAAAATAAACCCATTAAAACTTAATCTTAAAAAACTCACTTAAAAAAAACGAGTTTTGTATATTATTTTGAAAATAAGACTCTTTCCTGTCTCAAAAGTACAATAAATACTGAATAACTTACTGTACAGGATTAAAGAAAAAACATGATGAGACTGGAAACAGTCTCATACACTCAACATGTTTCGACATATTTTACTGCATCATCCTCAGGAGTGCAATGTTTTGCAAGAATAACACATATTTATACTCTTACAAAATCACCATAATAGAATTTACTGGGAACAGTCTCATTTTTAAAATTGTGTACAAAAATTGTTGTTTTATTAAAAAAGTGAGTTTTTTAACGTTGAGCATTACACAAGTACCAAATAATTTTAATATTGTGCTTTTCTATCCTGTATTCATAGATTGGAAGTGTACAATTCAACTTTCCATATAAGTTTAAGTTGTTGTAGTTTTTATTTTAAGTATGCCATTGAAATAAAATTGTTGCAATGTTAAGGTTTAATATTAGACATTTGTGTTTTTCTTATTTTTATATTAAGGTGAAAACATGCAAAACTGCCTACCATGTCACTTGTGCCTTCAAAAATAACCTTGATATGAAAGCAATCATTGAGGATGAGAAAGATGATGATGGAGTGAAGCTTAGAGTGAGTGATTTCTGTCATTAAGTATTTTTAAGAGCTGACTTTAATTGACATTCTTGCCAAGTTGTACAATTTTGCCGTATAATGTACAGCCCCAGTTTAATCTTAAATGTTAAGTTTCTTTCAAGGCTCTCATACAGCAGAGATTCTTTTACAAAGCCACTAATGTTTTTTTTTTTTGTGTGTGCTGACAATATTAAGTTTGTGTTTAAGTGAACTTGTATACACAGATTTTTTTCTAAGTTTGAAATTAGCCCTGATTCACTTTGCAGATCATGTGGGTTGTGGGTGACTTTTTGGAATATTGTTAATGTTCAGGAAATGCCAAGCTTATTGACTACATAAGCTGAGTTAAGTTTTATAAATAAAGTAACATATTTAAAATATATTAATTGTATTTTAAAATAGTAAAGAGAAGAAACTAGTTTGTAATTAATATGAAATTAATAAATTATTATATCTAACCTGTCTATATCTCTGCAAAAATGCATTGGGTGATGACAAAAAATCTGACAATCAGAAAATTGTTGCTTGTATTGTGTTTTAAGAACTTTTATGGAAAATATATTTTATATGTTTTTTAAATATATGTTTTACTGAGAATGGATCTTATCTCTTTGACAACTTCATTTGAGTGAAGGAAACTATGGATTTATTATGAGTTTTCCCATTATTGTTTTGATTGCAATATCTATTAGTATGTGAGGAAGAATAATTGCTTCAAAGTATAAAAACTTGTGAAAATTTTCCTTTAAAAATAGAATCTAAAATATGGATTTTATTATTTTTTAACTAGAAAAATTTGTGTATATACACTTGACACTTCATTACAATAATTCCAAATGGTATTTGTGTTATAGGTTGTTATACTTATTATATTTAGTTTTAATTTTTATTAATATTATTAGCTTAGTTAGCTCTTTCCATAAGGGCTTCTTTTTTGCACATTTCATGAGCTGTTTACTGAGTTACGTTCAAAATTTAATTAAAATACTCTATTTTCATGGTATATGAATAAACTTGGCATCAAAATTCAGCTAATAATCTAAATTTTAATATTATATAAGTCTTAAGTTCTTAATGTTATGAGGCAATATTTATTATTTTGTGTTCTTTGGTGCATTATGTAATTAAATAAAAAATTTAGTGCAGTAGTACTAATAATATTAAAAAAAAAGTAGGGTTAAGTTTCATTGACAGTTGACAGCAAGAAAAAAAAAGATCCAGGAAAGTACTATATTTTTTGTTTTCCATGTGTATTCTTTATTTATTATTATAAAAGTAACTAAAATATAAAAATTAGAAATTTTTTAGGTTAGACTAGGTAAACCAAATAATACTAAAAAATTTTCATGAGGTACGTTAGTGAGCAACTGGGAAGTACCCCATGCATTACTCGATCCAATAGGGTAACATGAGCTACATGTTAACCAAATGATTCAAAATTTTATGGCAGGAAAATTAGTTAGACACAGTTCAAAGGGCAATAAAACAATAAAATTTAAGTAGAAACAGGTGTATACTGTTACAAATGTAAAGCTATTTAGGAGAAACAAATGTAGTTTCATGTTACAATTTGAAGTAATTCTAGAAAGAAAAATATGGCTAAGTTAGATTTATTTCTTTTTTTTTTTTTTACCAACCTCATATAAAGTTAGGGTAGTAAAAATAACATGAAATATAGTTTTACTGAAAAAAAAATGTTAGAAATTAATTTAGAAGGTTTCAGAGATTATACAAATGAAATTTGATTCCATATATTCATGGAGACATTTTTAGTGAAAATACTTCATTCAAATTCTGATTCTTTTGCTTATAAAAAACTTAATGCTTACTGAAAACTTGCAAAATTTTGTGTAGATACACAAAACCTATTAAAAGGTATAGTAGGAAACTATAAAGGTCAATTTGGGGTCATGAATTTGGCCGAGCTTGTAGTGAGAATGTTAGTGGATCTCAGACTAACCTAAATCTATTAAGCTGTCCGAACAAAATATAACTTTTACCATAATGTGGTATGTCATACTTGGACATTAGTCTTAACAAGTGGAACTTTTTACCACAGTGTTAATTAACATATATAATATATCAACTTTTCTTTTTTACCATTTCTAATTTTATTTTTATGTTTATTAATTTATGATTGTTATTCTGCATTGTTGGATTAGTGTATGGATTTAGGGTTAACATAATTTTTCTGGCCTGGATGTACCCAGAGGGATTTGTCATTGGGTTTACAGATGAAAATATTGTTAACAGCAAACAATGCACTGTAATCATTATAAGTTATATAGTTTGAACAGTACACTTAATTAGCTATGCTCATTACTGTGTATACTTTTTTGTTATGAGCTATATAGACAGCTTGCTTTAATCAGAATATTAATCACGACTTCTTCCGATACGGTACTTCCCTCAGCTCACAAGATTAGCTTTTCTTGTTTTGTGCTTCTCTCTATACGTGGTATTTTTTATAACGCATGCCACAAGCCTTCTGCACCCCCTATTGGAATCAAAGGTTCCATCATATTTCTCATGCAAATCATCATGTGTCTTCTCTCCACCAATAGGAGAGCACTACTATCACATGATGCATGTGACTCCCTTTGTGCTTTACTGCCGAACCATCACTTCTCGTTTGGCAGTGCTTGAGTTTGGATGTCTTTCTTTTTGTTTGTTACTTCTCAAAATGGTTTCACTTCATTTAATATAATTTTTTTTCCCCACTTTATTTTCAAAACCATTTGGCATACCTGTGTTTTGCTGCAAAAAATTGTGCTTCTTTGTTTGGTATCAAGCATGAATTCCAAAGTTAATGTTACCATTTTGGGTACATCTCAATCGTCTGATGACATAATTCAGGCCACAGGTGTATGCAACCTGTCAATGGATTTATCGGCTATTATCGCAGGGAGATTGAGTGTTATATGGGACAACCTTTGTCTCCTGCTCTTGCTCTTTCTTCTGAGTTTTTGAGCCTGGCCAGGCTGACGAGGATTTTAATGATCTGTTTCCCCCTCCCTGGAGTTTGCCATGCCTTCCCAACCCCTACCTGAGGATCTGTTTGACCCTCATAGGCTTTATTGGATTTTATTTCTCAGGTACGTGGTATTTTGTCTATTGCTCCTATTTCTTAGGACCCACGTCCTTACCTGTTACATGATTCTGCCTCTCAATCTTATTTAGTTTTTACCTGTTACCTGATATTTGGGTTCACACCGAGTGTTTTGCCTCCCAGTTAGGGGATGGTGTTAGTATGCCTTATCCCCCGTGGGCTTTGGATCTGTCTGCTCTTGCTTATCATAGGGAGGACTGTCCTTATCTGACCAACAATTGTTGGGTTCAGTTTTGCCTGTTTGGGGGGCAGGACCCAAATCTTCCATTCATCTTACCAATGCCCAGTATTCCTGCATTTGTCTTACCCTTGTGGTACCTCTCCTCAATCTATGTCCTGTATGAGGCTCTTCATGAGAACCCTGAGGGGTTCTCTAAGGATGTCCTGTTCCTCCTCATTTCCATGTTAGGCTGTCTGTCGTCTTCAGCTCTGACCCTGCAAATATGGTTTATTTGTTGTTGGGACCTTTTGGGTTGTGATGCCATATTATCACAGATTCTCCCAGGTCCTTATCTATGGGACCTTCAGATGACCCTCTTTTTGAGACATTTTGTGTTTGACACGACCCCAGAGCCTTTGGAGTTCAGTAGCTTTGGTCCAGCAACAATCCACCCTTTCTCATCTGGTAGCACCAATTCTTGTCTACTGACTCTCCCCTTTCCAGCTCTTGCCCGTTCCTCCTTCCTGCAGTGCCACTGTTCATCATTTTTCATGGTAATGCATGGTACACCAATATTGGTTCTAGTGGCTACCTGGTGGGTTCGGGTTCGGTGGGAGCACGTCTGGCGACATTCGTTCATCGGTAGAGACCTTTCCTCACTGATGTATGAGTTCACTGAGTTTTGTCAGAGGGATTCATCATACCTTTTGTTACCCATCCTCCTTTTTCCTGCATGCCTCTTTCCTTTATTTCTCCTTGGGATCCCTTGTCATGCCAGCATCTATCTGAGATGGTATAAGACCTCACACAACAGGCTATCAAACCTTCTCCAAGTGGTTTGGGGGGTTTTACTACTGCCTGTTTGATGGGGGACTGGAGGCTGGTCATCACATGCTTCACAATGGACATCTCTAATGTTTATTTTCATATTCCCATATTGGAGTGTTCTCCTCCTTATCTTTGGTTTGTCCATCATGGGGTGAAGTACCAATTTCGTGCCCTATCCTATGTGCTGGCTTTGACGCAATATGGATGGTCAGTAACCTCGTGATATTTGCTTCTTAAATTGGCCTGTCCAGGACTGTACCACCTATAGATGGCATGGGTAAAGCAGAAGGGAATAGCTGCCCATCCCTTCCATGCCTTGATTGAATAAATCGGAATGATCTGCCCCCCCTCTTCCAGTGGAGTATGGGAATCCTTACCACTTGCCAGTTCCAAGCTGCTGGAGTGATTGACCATGGAGGCATCTTGCTGGATGGGTTCCACATAGATGGCTATAACCATTAATTTCAGAGTAGGGCAGTGGTGCTCTGCCAGTGTAGAAGGCGTACCAATCCTCTGGATTGAGTGACACATACCACAAAGTGAGATGTCTCAATACAGCTCATCCCTTCAATTGAGTGCCCTCATCCTACCTTCTCATGGATGTTGGTACTCCACAGGCTGGTTTTGGATATTAAGTGAACCAATCAACTTAAATCCTCACACAGGTTTGTGATTGCCCATCTTCCTCCCACAATTTTTTGTTCTGTGTAGTGGGTCTCGGAGGGTATATGTGGGATATTTCCATTTCTGTCCAGGACACTCCCTCATTCTCTCTTGGGATGGGGATGTTATTGAACTTTGGATGTTTCGGAACAGTCGCAAGAGTTGATTGTGTGTGATGGACTTTCCTTGGATATTGGATGACACATCACTGGATCCCTGGCTCAATGCTATTCCTGTGTCATGCCCTGGAGTTGGTATTTTCCTCACATCTACAATTTTAGGGCATGAGGTGAAGCTGGTATGATCCTCATCCTACCCTCTCATGGATGTCGGTACCCAGCAAGGAGATTTTGGATTTACTTGACTTAAAAGTATGATCCGCCTCGCTCTAGCCTCTCTACACCATACGATGCATCCTCCATTACCCACAATTCTTCTGTGGGATTGAGTTTTTATCTGTATCCGGTTGTGATTACTTTCCTGACTTATCCTCTCCCACTTGATGTGCTTCCTTCCTGTTCTGCCATGTTTGTTCCTAGCTGTTCATGGTTAGGAGATACCTGGTTCAGAAGTGGTGCAGTGCCCCTCCTCAGATCATCTGATCTGGTTCTCTCATCTACAGAAGTATTCTTTGGATGCTTTCCGGGGGTACGTCTGTTCTTCCCTCACACTGGTCCCTCCTCCTTTTCAATGTGGGATTCTAGCTAATCTTATGAGCAGAGTATTTCCGATAAGTACTTCTCTCCACTCACAGTTCCCACCCTCCTCACCACAATCTTCTGGTGCTTATGTCTTCTACCATACCACGATGTGATGATTCGATAGTGGCATATAGAGGGAGTTGCATATGTCACGTAATAGTAGTGCTCTCCTATTGGTGGAGAGATGACACATGATGATTGGCATGAGAGACTGCTGGAACCTTTGATTCCAATAGGGGGTGCGGAAGGCTTGTGGCATGCATTAAAAAAAACGTTCTCATATAGAGGGCAGCACAAAATGGGAAGTACCTACCAGAAATACATTTTCAGTATAGGAAAATTATAACTTTATTAATATCAAATAAGTAGATGTATTTTTTAAAAATTTAGACAAATTACAAAAACAAGAGTTGATAAAGCACTTGAAAATGCTTTATTGAATGAATATGGAGTTAATTTTATAATTTAAATCAGTTTGGTCAACAAATATCAGTTTACAATAAGTAAAGAATGTGTATCAAAATTTGACTTATCTGTCATAGTTATAACTATTTGCACTGCAGAGTCACAGTACACATGTCAAAACTGTTTACAGAGTCACATTGAAATTGTAATTAAACAGCTTTGTTATCAATGTATATCAATAAACTTTGACATCAAAATGTACTATATAATACAGATTTTAGTTTTATCTAAGTCTTAATATCTTTAATTCAATACGGGACTATTAAAAACTTTCTATGCATCACATGACGTCCAACTAATAAGAAACACTATAGATATTGACAAGCCAGAATATAAAGTTAGAATCTTCAATCTTCTAGCTTTATTGAGATACAAAAAAAATAAGGCAAGCCCACTTGGCATGCCCCTCTCATGTCAGTAATTCTCTTTGACATTGATATTAGATTATTTATAAACAATAAAAAGAAAAGCTTTTTCTTTTGTATGAGCTTCTTTATACTGTTATTTTATTTTGTCACCCGCAAGTAGATATCTAATCTAAAACACCTTAAGTGTGAAAAAAAAGATGCGGCCAAAAAAGGATTGAGCGTGCAACTTAAAGGAATGAAATGAAAATTTGCAGCTAAGCTGGTAGCTGCACTTATAGCATTGATAAGAATTTTACAGCAAATATTCATTCATTAGTTAACCTGGCCACATTTTGGATTCAACTTGGGTGAAACAAAATATGTGGCCTAACTAATTTATGAATGAATATTTGCTGTAAAATTCTTATTAATGCTATAAGTGTAGCTACCAGTTTTGATTTCATTCCTTTACGTGACATCCTCAATCCTTTTTTTTTTTGCCACACTTTTGTTTTCACACTTAAGGTGTTTTAGATTAGATATTATGACTTTTTGTCAATACACACCAACAAACCACAGCATGTACGAAAAGTGACACTTGATAGTAACCAACATTAGCTTTAGGATTGCAACCCTATTATTTGGAACAGACCTATACCTTACAGAACCAATCAGATTCTTTAAAATATTTGGTGGTAGTTTTTCCTCTCTAAAACACTGTTAATAACTTCCTTCATAGTAATGCCAGGAATTTAAATTAAATGTTTCTTGTCATCACCTGCATGCACTCGGTACAGCTGTATCAAGCATCATTATTTATGGTAATTGCTTAAACTAATATCATGTGATGCTAATTGCTCTTTAATTAGGAGAATTTCACAAAATTTAGTAAATGTATGCTGAAAAGTTTGCAATGAATAATAATTGTCCTCCTGTATGATTCTTTTGAAAACTTGAGCTAGAAACTGCTAATCTAGTTTGATTGGCCTTACCAATACTTATGTATCTGCACGTGCTTTCACCCTATAGTTTTGCTGCTCTAAGTCAGCCGTCTTTAATCCCAATGACAAAAAACTAAAAATGGTCTGTTGTTATTCTTAGGTGAAATTGTAATAAAAATTTTAGACTGATAGTTCAAATGACTTTTTGCATAGGTGTGGGCAAAAAGTTTGGTCAAAATTGAGTTCTTTTGTTGAATATCTTTGCACATGTGGCTTATATTTAGACAAAATTTGACACCTAATTATAGTTAATAAAGATCTATCAGTGTACCAAGTTTCAAAAAAATCCATTAAAGATAAGTATATTATCCTATCAAATAAAGATTCCGTACTTTCAATGCAAAGAAGAAAAAAAAGGAAGAACTTCAATCAAAATTGTAGATTTTAAATCTCGTGTATTTCTTAATGGATTACTTTGAAATTTGGTAAGAGAAGTAAGGGTTTAGTAGAGCACATCCACTGAAAATGTGTGATAGTTTTGATTTCATTTTCATTGTTTGTGATCAGGTTTTTCTGTTACAAGTTTAGTTAAAAAGTCAGTTAATTGTAGTAGTTTGGGGACATTTTATTCTATTGTTTGAGATATTTTTTTGTTTTCTAAAATGCATGTTTGAAAGAAACATTAATGATTTTGTGATGAACCAATGTAGTATGGTGCTAAGGAAGTATGCTCTTTAATTATAATTACTGAAAAAGGCTAACTTTAATGTAAGTCCAAAATTTCTAGTTTTTCATAAAAATTAGAAAATTGTTAGGTTAGATAACAAAAAGTAAATGAAAGAAAAATTCACAAGACTGGCTTGATCTAACTATGTCAAGTGATTATAGCTTTATTGGTTGTTTACATTAAGCTCTTCTGCTGTAGTTAGTTGCTTTTTACAATTGTAACTTTATTGATTGTTTACAATAAGCTCTCCTACTGTGGTTAATTGCTTTTTAGATACTTAGAAAGGGTCTAAAGGTCATTTGAAGTAATAAAATAAAAAATAAGCAATTTGAAAAGGTTAGATATCTGAGTATTTTATGCTAAATCATTGTAATTCTCTGTTACATTCTGCAGTCATTCTAGAAAAATTATTATTGATTTGTGTTCATATTTTTTGCAAATGAAATATGAAAACTAAGATGAAAAGTATTTTTATTCTTATCATGAAAATGAATTTTCACTCGGACTGACTCAGTAAAGATTTTGTAAATTCACAGAAAAGTTTTTTAGTAGAAATACTTTATTAAAAAGTGTTTTTTTTATGCAACATACTTATAGCTTGCCAAATTTTGCATTGGTAAATTTGGAATTATAGTATAATTTTTACAGTTTCTACTTCAGATAAAGATAGACTATGCATACACACTTAAAATAATAAGAAAACAGTAATAAAAGTTAAATGCCATAGTACAACAGAATTGTGAGTTTTTTGGTTTTTTTTACCAAGTAAAGAAGTATTCTATTTATATTGTTCATCTAATTTGTTTGTTAACTGAATTACATGTTCAGTTCAATTCTTGCAACCATTAAGCCAATTGCAGTTTGAACTACCAGTCATTCAGTTTCATCCTTGTTCTACTTCTCAATTAAAGTTTCACATTTGTTATTTTATTCAGAATAAAAGACGTTTGGAAATTCAACCCAATTTTAGGGACAGTCAGAACATCTCATTTTTATTTAATTTCCCAGTAATTTCATATTTAAAATGTTTGTTAAGTGTTTTGAAGAGATATTAACATGTTCTACATGAATGTAGAATCTTTTAAGTCTTCAAGCTTTATCTGTGTAAATGTATGTTTCAACTTTTTCATTTTCAGTGACTAATATTTCATTTTACATGAGCCCTGGTGTATTAAGAAACTTGTAGTTGCTCACTGTGCAGACAAACATTGCATTTCAAACTCCTGTCCAAGTCGCATCCTGAATATATTTTTCTAGTTTGTATAAATGTTTTGCTGTAATAAGAATGATAAAACATTAATTTGTGAAATAAGAAGATTCCAATTAGTTTTGAGTACTTTGAAAAATAGCAATAACTGATGTATCTGAAGTTCAAAATGAGTGTGAAGTGGTTCACAATATTAATGACGATATTAGCACATTTGAGTTTCTTAGCTCATTTCTGAGTTTTGTAAAATGTGATAAAAGAAGTATAGTGTTTTTTGAAAGCGATGGGATTATTATAACTTAATTGATAGTCAATGAATAAAAAAAGGTTTAATAACTCTGTATATCATTCCTTTCCAGTCTTACTGTCAGAAGCATAGCCAGAAGAAAGATTCCAACTTATCATCAGATTCAGAAGATGAAAATGAAAGTCCAAGGAAGAAGAAGAAGAATGAAAAAAATCAGAAACCAAAAAAAGAATATGAGATATCTTGTGAGGAACAAGCCAAAGCAAAAAAGTAACCAGGAATTCAGTAAATTTGTTTTTAAAATAAATTTTATTCAAAAGTAATTTTAAACTTTTTCTACAATGTGTTAGATCAATATTTACTTTTGTTTTTGAATTACCACAAACTAATTCTTATGTAGTTATTATTAGTTTTTAAAAAATTTTTCATCTTAATCATAGGTAAGAGAGTTTAACAGTTTGCATATATTTGGTAAATGTAAATAACCTCAATTAGATCTGAACTTGTGTTAAATATTTCATTTTCAGAGATTCAGTGTTTAATTCTGTTGCATAATATGTAAATATTATTCAACCTAGTCTTAATTAACATAGCTAAATGGGGATGTTAACACAGAGCTCATTGCAGAGGGCAGCACTGGGCTACTGACCAATGCTGCTTACACATAGATGTGGGAGTGTTTTTTGTGGAATTGAAAATGTCAAGATGCTCAAATTTTGTAGTTTCAGCTCTAAAAGAGCTCAGCCAAAAATTGGTCAGAAAATTGGATAGGATTGAAGGGTAGGTGTTTGAATGATTAAAATAACACGTTTGTATGCATAGGATTTATGGAAAAGGGCAGGCTTTACACTGTTTTCCTGCAAATAAACATATTTTTAAGAGTTAATGTGGAAAGTAAGTATTATCCCTGAATTCAAAGTGAATAATATAAATTACGACAGCAAAATAGGCTTAGTACATAACTTGTTAAATTTTTTGATTTTACATTTTTTGTGATTAAGTTTATGTTTCAATCCTATAACTTTTTAAGTGAAAAACAAATGGAGGAAAGGCTCAGAGTGACATGTAGGAAGGTGACTGAGAAATCGGCCATGGCTAACCACAGATTGGGTGAGAAAGACCATAGATGGTGACAGCTTCTCCCGGTACCACAGTTTGCCATTTTTCGTGGCAACACGCGGTATGCAGGCAATGGTTCTAGTGAATTCGAGACTGGGGGTAGCTCATCTGGCGAATTTCGTTCATCAAAGAGCCCTTTCCTCTCTGAAGGCCGAATTCGTGGTGTTCTATCAGTGGGTTTTGTCATACCCTTTTCTCCTCTCTCCCATTTCCTTCCTCCTCAGAGTCTATGGTCACTCCAGTGTATTCCAAGGCAGTACTCAACCTCTTTATCCAACATGTTGTCATACCTGCTTTGCATGGGTTTTACTCCCGCCAGTTTGCCATTTTTAACACCCTGCCCTTCAGTCTGCCTTCCATGCTGTATGTTTTTCTCCAGTGGTTTGCCACTTTGCTTGGCATATCCATACCTTGGGGCTGTGCTTCTATGCTTACATGGTTGACTGGCTTCTTGCCCATTCCAAACCGTTTGGTTTCCTATAGCGAACAAAATAAACAAACTTCCTCTTTTATATATATATATATATATAGATGTATTAAATACACCTCTCAGGATTAGAGATTATGACAGTACTAACAGCATAGGACTCAACAATACACTTTCTGAAACTCTTAGGATAGAGCTCACTTTAATAATTCTAATTCCTGATACTGTTTCAGTTTTGTTCAGTTTCAAGAGGGTATTATATGTTTTTGACAAACCAATGACATCTTTAATGTTTACATATACACTAGGACTGCAAAAAAATCTTTCTGATTAAAACTTTTGTCAACCATAATGCTCGCTAAAATGTTACACTACTTAATTCATTTTTGCTTTATATACTATTTTGTCACTAATTGAGTTCCATAACTATATGCCATGAATGATAATAACCCTCTTGGTGATATTCCCACTATAAACTCTAGGGTTTTCCTGTTTTTTTTAATTGGAAAATGTTACTTGCTAAGCAATAGGTGCAGATGGAACTTGAGTTGGAACTTGTATTCAATCCACAGATAGCTCTTGAGTATGTCTGAGTGAAAGTCAACAAACAAAGACTTATTTAATGAAAAATGAAAGAATTCATAACTTAACACCATTGATTTGTTACGTAAGAACTGTCAGTAATTTAGATTTAGGTTTATTGTTACTATTAGTACTTAATGCTATTATTGACTAATTTTTACAATCAAACTTACCTACCTGTGTACGAGTTCCAAAAAATTCTGGGAGAAAATGCAGCTTACGAATTATAAATATATTTGATGCTTTTCAAAGTTTTACAGACCTGTTTCAAACTCATAGTTTTCTTCTTATAATACTCTGGAAAAATGCATCCACTCATTATTTTAAACAGGTATATAGCATACTGTGGGATTTTTAATAATAAATTGTAATACTATTTTTGTTGCAATCACTATGTCTGTATGCGCGTGTGGCACAGCCTTATTTGACAGCTTATTGGTGTTGGTCGGTAGCCCACATGTGACAGAAAGTAGCAGTTAACATTCTTATACTTTGTTTATTCAGGTAGTCTGAGTCAGAAAGAAATAGTTCTGTTATATTGAATTGCCCCCCAGTGGCACAGTGGTATGTCTGTGGACTTACAACGCTAGAAACCGTGTTTCGATACCCGTGGTAGGCAGAGTACAGATAGCCTTTGTGTAGCTTTGTGCATAATTACAAACAAACTATACTGAATTAAAATAATAGTTGAAAGGGATTTAAAGTTGAATAGGTGTAAGCTATAAATGTTAAATATATTCCAAGTTTTTTTTAACCATGGGAAGATAAAATATATAGAGTACTGCTTCACACGACTTTGTCAAACAAAGACATGTACATTACAGTAAAACTTTTTTCAGAGTTACTTGAGTTCAGTGGCATTAAAATTTAATGCTTTTGTAAAATTTAGTAATACTCTCACAATATATATATTATGATGGTTATTTTTCTTACAAGTGATTATTTCACAACAGAATTCAACAGATGTCATCAGAGTTCTACAACTATGTGAATACTGAAGAGATGGCAGAACTATTACAAGTAAATCCAACTGTTGTGGATTTTGTTTATCAGTATTGGAAACTGAAAAGAAAAGTAAGCAGACTTTATCTGTAGATGAAATTCAAAAATTGTATTGTGAAAGAAATCTAATTAAGTTTTTATATTCAGTAATAGGACGTGATGTATTGAATAACATTTTTTGTGTTTAATTGAAAGATATGAGAAAGACTTACTCAGACTGCGTAGGTATTGTGTTGGTGATTCTTGTTAGAGGTTATATGGTACAGAATTTACAACATTTTTTAATAATGAAATATCTGTGGTAAGAAATTCTAAGTGACTTGAAACATTTTAGGGCTGTAACAAACATTACTAAATGAAGGTTCAGACCTTTGATAGTACCAATTTACCTAATTTACTTATGATGTCACCATAACTACTATTTTATAGTTAATGGAAAACCTTTTTGTAATTTTAAAATCCATTACGTAGAACAGAAATTTTTATATAAAAAAATGCATTTTTAAGCACCGTGTCTGATATAACTACATACAGTAACCTTGCATTGCAAGAGCACCCTATTGAAGCCAATTTAATGAATTACAGCTGACTCAAACAAAAAAAAAATATTCAACAAACAGGTTAACAGCCATAATCTTTTTTTGCATAAAATGTTTGATTATTAAACATACCTAATAAACATAATGATAAATAAAAAGCAAAACAGTACAGTGTACAACTAACAATTCAACAAGAAAATAAATACAGACCTTCAACTGTCACAGAGTGTTATTATCAGTCAATTTTTTTACAACATTATTGATTAATTAAATATATGCCTTGCGGAGGGGGAAGTATAAAGTTACACTGGTGCTTCTTTTCAACATTAGAGTTATTAGTGTTAGCATTTTTCTATGTTTCGTACTTATTCTAATATAACACATTCTCCACTGTAATGGTCTGCTCCAATGCTATGTATGAAGTTTTGGTGGTTGTGTTTTTTTTGTTGTCATTTTTAATTAAACAACAAAAAAGCATACAGTTAGGTGCTATGTATAAAGCTTTGGTGGTGTGTGTTTTTATAATACAACAACTTTTGTTTACGTAACAGTCATTATACAAATCATATCGAATTTTCCATGTGAACAATATTTAATGTGATAACTATTTAAACATTTTCCAATAGTTTTTGTTAACACACACACACACACACACACACAAAAAAAACATCTCGCACTGCTTGAATGCTGTCTGATGAACCTTTAAATTTTTAAATTTTCCA